CTATTTAAAATAGCTGAAGAATAACCCATCTTGAGTTTTATGCCCAGAATAGTTTGTTACAGTATGTAGTGATTCTATAAAGAGAAAAAGTTGCATATATCCCTCTAGTCTGAGGGTTTTCAACGTATGCCTGGAACTGCCCAGATCAGAAACCTTTGTGGTGGTGGTAGAAGGGGTTTTTGGAAAATGCAGATTTTTCAGGCCCACTCTAGATTTATGGAATTTTCATTCTTTGAGGGGCCGGGTCAAGTTCTCACTCGTGATCCTTACATACATTCTCATTTGATAACAACTGCTCTGTCCTCAGGGCAGAACAATTTGCAGGTAGACAAGTACCCTTACTAATTTTTTTTTTTTGAGACAAGGTGTTATGTAGCCCAGACTGACCGCAAATTCTTTTTTTTTTTTTTTGTTTTTTTTTTTTTTTTCTTTTATTATCCATATTATCCAAGGCTTGGTTCATTTCTCCCCCCTGCCCCCACCCTCCCTTACCACCCACTCCCCCCTCCCTCTCCCCCCCCTCAATACCCAGCAGAAACTATTTTGCCCTTATTTCTAATTTTGTTGTAGAGAGAGTATAAGCAATAATAGGAAGGAACAAGGGTTTTGCTGGTTGAGATAAGGATAGCTATACAGGGCATTGACTCACATTGATTTCCTGTGCGTGGGTGTTACCTTCTAGGTTAATTCTTTTTGATCTAACCTTTTCTCTAGTCCTGTCCCCTTTTCCTATTGGCCTCAGTTGCTTTAAGGTATCTGCTTTAGTTTCTCTGCGTTAAGGGCAACAAATGCTAGCTAATTTTTTAGGTGTCTTACCTATCCTACCCCTCCCTTGTGTGCTCTCGCCTTTATCATGTGATCATAGTCCAATCCCCTTGTTGTGATTGCCCTTGATCTAATGTCCACATATGAGGGAGAACATACAATTTTTGGTCTTTTGGGCCAGGCTAACCTCACTCAGAATGAAGTTCTCCAATTCCATCCATTTACCAGCGAATGATAACATTTCGTTCTTCTTCATGGCTGCATAAAATTCCATTGTGTATAGATACCACATTTTCTTAATCCATTAGTCAGTAGTGGGGCATCTTGGCTGTTTCCATAACTTGGCTATGGTGAATAGTGCCGCAATAAACATGGTGTGCAGGTGCCTCTGGAGTAACAGTCTTTTGGGTATATCCCAAGAGTGGTATTGCTGGATCAAATGGTAGATCGATGTCTAGCTTTTTAAGTAGCCTCCAAATTTTTTTCCAGAGTGGTTGTACTAGTCTACATTCCCACCAACAGTGTAAGAGGTTCCTTTTTCCCCGCATCCTCGCCAACACCTGTTGGTGGTGGTGTTGCTGATGATGGCTATTCTAACAGGGGTGAGGTGGAATCTTAGTGTGGTTTTAATTTGCATTTCCTTTATTGCTAGAGATGGTGAGCATTTTTTCATGTGTTTTCTGGCCATTTGAATTTCTTCTTTTGAGAAAGTTCTGTTTAGTTCACTTGCCCATTTCTTTATTGGTTCATTAGTTTTGGGAGAATTTAGTTTTTTAAGTTCCCTGTATATTCTGGTTATCAGTCCTTTGTCTGATGTATAGTTGGCAAATATTTTCTCCCACTCTGTGGGTGTTCTCTTCAGTTTAGAGACCATTTCTTTTGATGAACAGAAGCTTTTTAGTTTTATGAGGTCCCATTTATCTATGCTATCTCTTAGTTGCTGTGCTGCTGGGGTTTCATTGAGAAAGTTCTTACCTATACCTACTAACTCCAGAGTATTTCCTACTCTTTCCTGTATCACCTTAAGAGTTTGGGGTCTGATATTAAGATCCTTGATCCATTTTGAGTTAATCTTGGTATAGGGTGATATACATGGATCTAGTTTCAGTTTTTTGCAGAATGCTAACCAGTTTCCCCAACAGTTTTTGTTGAAGAGGCTGCTATTTCTCCATCGTATATTTTTAGCTCCTTTGTCAAAGATAAGTTGCTTATAGTTGTGTGGCTTTGTATCTGCGTCTTCTATTCTGTTCCACTGGTCTTCATGTCTGTTTTTGTGCCAGTACCATGCTGTTTTTATTGTTATTGCTTTGTAACATAGTTTGAAGTCAGGTATTGTGACACCTCCTGCATTGTTCTTTTGACTGAGTATTGCCTTGGCTATTCGTGGCCTCTTGTGTTTCCATATAAATTTAACAGTAGATTTTTCAATCTCTTTAATGAATGTCATTGGAATTTTGGTGGGAATTGCATTAAACATGTAGATTACTTTTGGGAGTACTGACATTTTTACTATGTTGATTCTACCAATCCATGAGCATGGGAGATCTCTCCACTTTCTATAGTCTTCCTCAATCTCTTTCTTCAGAAGTGTGTAGTTTTCCTTGTAGATGACCTCAAATTCTTGATCCTTCTGCCTCAGCCTCCCAAGCACTGGGATTATAGGCCTGCACCACCATGTCTGGATCAAAAAATGACAAAGTAAGACAGGCACTGGTGGCTCATGCCTGTAAGTAATCCTAGCTCCTCAGGAGGTAGACATCAGGAGGATTGCAGTTCAAAGCCAGTCCCAGGCAAATTGTTCTTGAGACTCTGTCTGGAAAAAACTCATCACAAAAAAGAGCTGGTGGAGTGGCCAAAGGTGTAGACTTGTATTGTAAAACATGTCAAGAAGACAGAAAAGCAAAAAAGAGAATAGCAATAAACATTGATACTGCTTCAAGAACCAGATATAAATTTATTTCATTTACATCCTTACAACAGCCTTATGAGTCCAGTGCAATTATTAACCACCTTTTTTCTTTACAGATAAAGAAACCGAGGGACTGAGGTTAAGGAATTTTTCCATGATATTGCCAGTAAGCAGTGAGGTCATAATCCAGAGCACTCACTCCCTGTGAATTTGAGAGCACAGCCTAGACTTTGTCTGCATGTTGTTCTTATTCTTTTTTCATGTGCGTGTACTTAGAGATCATCAGAGGAACTTTTCTGTAGCTCTCAACCTAAGCTGTATAACCTGTTTTTTTCATTGTACATTGGGTAAAATGGTGGTGAAGAGATGCAGGGAAAAAACCACAGGCAATATCTCCAAGAATTATCTCTCATTTATACAACCATGTAGCTTTTGCGTTACATTAAAATTACATATAACCTCATACGGGAGGAGTTTTTTTCATTTATTCTTGACATTCATTGGGCCCTCAGATATTGTATCCTTCCAATAGATTGTAGAATATGTAGTGCCTTTCTGGTCTCTAAAACCTGCCAAGAACAGGTGCTGACCAAAGGTTCTCTAAAATAATGGAAAGTTGGAAACTCTTGAAATTGTGTCAGCGTGAGTAGAACACCCCTTTCTTGCCTGGAGGATCTGAGCCACACAGGTTACTCTGACACAAGATTTTCAATCTACTCACAAAGACTTAGATAATGAATTTCAGACCCCAAATTCTCCATTCATCTTAACTTTGAGATTTCTCCTACCCCCTCACAGAAAGAGGGTCCAGAATCTGCTTCTCAACTCAGGCCCAGGCCTGAAGCCAACTTTATGTTACACACAGCTCTGCTTTGCTTGAAGCCCACCCAATTGCATTACCAATACTCACCCCTTTCCCCATAATCCAATAATGATGTTTTCATTTGGTGAGATGGGTCCAGTTTCCTTTGGATGGCAGGCACCAAGTTCACATATCAAACTGCTGGCTACAGGTTTGCTTCCTGGTGGTCTTTACAGGAAGGCTTTGCCAATCCTAAACCACAGGTCCTAACGCTAAAACAACAGGAAAGTTCTCCTCAATATCTTTTTACAGATTGAGTTTAAAAATTTTTTTTTTTTTTTAATTTTGGTGTGACTGGGTTTGAACTCAGGGCTTCCCACTTGCAAACCAGGTGCTCTACCGGCTTGAACCATACCTCCAGTCCATTTTGCTCACAGATTGGTTTTTGCACAGGATTGCATTTACTGGTAATTTAATTCCTGCCAGATGAACTAGATTAAAATTCAAGGTAATTTTCTGCTTTCAGTTTCCCTGATACTCCAAGCTAGTTAAGAGCAGATGTTTTCTCTACATGGAAATTTGTCTCCCCAGATCTTTGCCTGGCTGGCTCGGGTCAAAGGCCACCTTGTGGGAACTGGCCATTATCGAATAAAGTAGCCATGTCTCTCTTTCTTAGAGGAATTATTAGTTTTTTAAAATTTAAAATATAGTTTTTGGTGGTACTGGGGTTTTAACACAAGGCCTCAGGCTTGTAAGGCAGCTGCTACTTGAGTCACACCTCCAGCAAAAGTAGCCATTTCTTTTCACACTGCCCAACCTTGTCACTCTACCCCATCCTCCTATTTTCTTCATCTTTCTCTGAGTTTTTATTTCATTACTCGTTTATTATCTCTCCTAACAAGAATGTATGCTCCAGGAGAGAAAGTACCACGACAGCATCATCTGCAGGGCCTAGAACCCTACCAGACAAGCATCTGTGATCCGAGTGAACACATCAACTACGCACTCCCCCTGCCTCCTTCCCCTTTAAATACCCTCCAAGAGGATCCCCTGGGATTACAACTCGGCGGGAACTAAGTGAACAGCTTTCGGCCTCGCCATTAGCTGGAGCACTTGCCGTTGCTGCTGGCAACCACTGTTTCCCACCATTCGTGTCGTAGCCCCGCCCCGTCCCGTCTCTGCTTGGCCCCGCCCCGGGACGCAGAGCCTCGGGACTGTAAAATCGGCGCTCGCTCTTTAAGCCGGGGGACTTCTGGTCACGTGGTCCACGGCCACCGGAAGAGGAAGTGCCGCGCCTGGACGCTGCCTGGCTGGTCCGAATTCGGTGGCGCCACGTCCGCCGGCCTCCGCCTTCTGCACCGCGGCTTCGGCGGCTTCCGCCTCGACACCTTTCACTTGCGGAGCCGGCCGGGTAGTGCGGTGGCCGGTACGGACAGACGGGCGGCTGTGTGCAGCCCGGCCACCTGAGAGGCGAAGATGTCGGACATCGGGGACTGGTTCAGGAGCATCCCGGCCATCACGCGCTACTGGTTCGCTGCCACCGTCGCGGTTCCCTTGGTGGGCAAGCTCGGCCTCATCAGCCCGGCCTACTTCTTCCTCTGGCCCGAAGCTTTTCTCTATCGCTTCCAGGTACTGGCCGGCGTCGGACAGTGGCGACTACAGGCTCCAGGCGGTCCCACAGCGGCGGAGCGGGGCCGGCAGGTGGCGGGCGCATGGTGGTTGGTGGGATTTGTAGTGCGACCCGCTCCAGTGGTGTAGGGTGGGGTCCTGTGGGCTAGGGTGGGGGTCTGGCTTGGATAGCTGGAGACGTGGGTTTGGCCTGCTGGGCAGGGACTGATTGCACCTGTTCACAAGATTGTGCTTCCCGTCCTCCTCACTCAGTAAAGGAAGCAGAGAGAGGGGAGTGAGTGAGAGTTGATATTCTGTTGGATGGCGGTGATTAGCAGACTGGGGCCACCTGGAGTAGTGCCCTTTGAGCTCCCTCTGTCACCTACGTGTGTGGTGTGGTGCCAGCCTGATCAGTAGTGTTCACTTGACCAACTTCTTATTTGGTTTCATGTTAATGAAGTTTGTCTTTCTGCCCCATAGGAGTGGTTTAAGGTCAGAGATAGAAAGAATGAGTTTATTTGCATTTTCCCAAGGCCTTGACCTAGTATCTGGCATGTAGTAATTGGATATATGGAGGAATGAGTAAAGAGTAACTTTCTTGAGAAATGGAAGATCTTGTTATTTTCGTAAACATGAAGGAAAAAAGTGCAGGATGTAATTTTTGGGAAAAGAATGTTAGTTTTCTGGAGGTTATCTATATTCACTGGATTCTGCTTTGTGATTAAAAGTTTTAATCAGTGGCAAGTCAAATTCCAAGATCTGACATTAATTCCAACACATCTCTTGGCCTTTGATTAATACTGCCTTGCTGTTTCCTTCCTCACTGGGTTTTATTTCTTCCTCTCCTTTGCTGCTTCCTGACTTAAATGTTGGCATGGGTCCCAGCAGTCAGTTATAGGACCTCTTCTATACACTTTCTACTCCTGGATGATTTTATTCAGCGTCATGGCTTTAAAACTTGCTATAAACAGATGTCCATCAAATACAAATATGGTATTAGAATCTGCAGTCCAGTCATGTCTGCTGAGTTCCAAATTTGTATATTGATCAGACTTCTGGAAATCACCACTTATTTCACCTGTAGGCACCTCATCCAAACTTCTGTGGCCAAAGTCAAATCCTTTTCCCTCTTTGCCCTAGAAGGAAATAGCAACTCCATTACTAGGGAATCTCAAGCTGATAGACCTGGAGTCATCCTTGGCTTTTTTTTTTTTTTTTTTTTGAGACAAGGTTTGGCTATGTAGCCTGGGCTGGCCTCCAACTCACAATCCTCCTGCCTCAGCTTTCCAAGTGCTGGGATTAGGGGTGTGCACCACTGTGCCAGGCTAGGAATTTTTTTTTAAGACAGTTTCCCAGGCATGTATTAACATGCAGTCTAGACTTCTTTTTCTCACACCTCACAATCTATTAGAAGATCCTACTGACTCTGCCTTAAGCTTGTATCCAGAATTCAATCTCCTCTCATTCTCCATTGCAAGCCATTATCCTTTCAACCTGTTCCTTTCAATCTTTTCTCTGGGCAGGCTGAATGACTCTTTTAAAACATAAACATAAATCACGTCTTGTCAGTTTTCTGAGAATTCTCCAGTGTCTTCTCAATTTGATGAGTAAAATCCACTGGAAGGACCTCTATTCCAGCACCTGGATACCTCCTTAGGACTTCTGTACATGTTAGTTCGGTGCCTGAGGAAGGTAACCATGGCTCACTCATTTGCCTCCTTATGTTTTCTCTGTCCAAATGCCATCTCGCAGGCAAGATCTCCAAGGCATTCTCATTGCCCTACCTAAAATAGTACTCCTTGTTCACTCCATCTCCTTTAACTTTTGTTTTTTCTACACATCACCCCTTAGTATTTGTTAGCATGCTTCCCCTCAGAGAATAAGGTTCCATGAGAACCAGATCTTCGTCTTGTCTACTCTGTCTTTGTTACCTAGACTAGTGCCTGGAACGTAGCATGTACGTGTTTATTGGAGATAATTTGACACTTAACTATTTGCTGAACACTGGAGATATAATAGTGAATAAGACAGAAAAGATTCCTGCTCCTATGAAAAAAAAAAGAGGGAAAGCCATGTGTGATGGAGAGTGATTTAAGGGTTATAATATTTGATAATCCAGAAAAGTGTCAGATGACATTTGGAGAATTTCTTTGGGTGGATCTGGCTCTGGAACAACTTTCCAGAAAGAAGGATTAGTAAGTGAAAGACCCAAGAGGCAGGAACTCAGAATAGAAAGAAGACCCTGGGACAGTGTCAGCTCTAGGATTGGTAGATGAGGACAGGGATGAGTGCCAGGAAGCAAAAGTGGAAAGGTCTGTTGGGGCTACATAATAGAGGGCCGTGTGAATCATGTTAAGAATTTTGAACTTATTATTTTCTTGCAGTGCTGAGGATTGAACCCAGGACCTTGTACATGCTAGACAAGTGATGTACTGTTGAACTTTATTTTGAGGATGTTATGAAACAGGGAACCTTTTGAACAAAGGATTGACAGATTGCCTCAACTACTTGGAATTGGTGTGTGGAAAAGGGCTAGGTAATGGGATTGGAGAGAAATGAAAGTTAGTATGCAAGTTTGGACCAGGGTGGCTTAATGATAGAGAAAAGTGGATAGATTTGGCAGTTGGAGCGGACAGGTGAGGGGAAGAGGACTCAAAGATACCACTGTTTTTATAGGAGCACCGAATGGATGGTTCAGCTCTTGATTGGCAATGTTCAGGGAGGCTCAGGTTTGGTGGGGAGTATAGGTGAATGGTGGGGAGTACAGTTAGTCTTCAGCTATTGTCAAGTCCTGGTACTTGGTTACAGTGACTGTAGAACATAGCCAGAATTGCAGACTGTTTTTTGTTGTTTATTTTAGTAAATATGTGTTGCAGTGTGTGCTGTGCACTTTGTGCCTGGTGGCGTGTTGGGTTATGTGTGTGCATGGGGGCGCAGTGGTCATAATCATTTTGTGAGAACTTAGTTAAAGCTGGCTCTTTGACCCTTCTTACAGAATTATGTTCATCTGTGTAGTCAGACTAGTAGAATAATTGACAAAAAAAAGAAAAAGAAAAAAGAAAGCCTTTGTAATAGGCTGCAGGTGTATCATGTTAAAAACGGGGAACTGATTATAAAGAGTCACTCATTCATGTCACATCTTCCACAGTTCTTCTATTTTCCATACATTGCTTCTTTCAGGCTTGTTATCTCAAGTCTGGGAGACGCTGCTGGCAGGAGGTTGGCCAGTGCACTGACTTCCCAGGTGTGAAAGACCAATAACTATACCTTATCTCTTTGTCCTGTTACTCTGACTTTTGCCATTCTGGACAAATTTAGTTCTCAAGCCCACGTGGAAAACTTATTTGCAAATGATGCAGAAAATCTGCACTTGAGAGGCTAATATGTGAGGGCAGTGTGAGTTGTGTTTTTGCATAGTTTCTGTAAGAAGAGGTACATCTTTTCTTTAGAAGCTAGATCTGTAACAGCTTTTAAAAAATTGGGGAATGATTAATTTAAAATTGGGCATTCATTTTGGGAGTTGCAGTTATTTTTCTCCTATCAATAAGTTTCCCTCTGTGTAAATTGATGGTTTGGAGCTCCAGCGTCTAAAATGTTACTTCTTTAGTTCGGATAGGTTAAAACAGGTATATGCTAAGACTCACGACATGATTGTCTACAGTTTCTTCTTATTCCCAGTCCCTCAGACTCACATCAGTCAAATAGTTCACAATGATGAAATGTCTTCATATTTGTCCCTGATTGCACAAGAGAGGTGGCAATTTTCTGCTATGCTAGTGTTTTCTGGGATTATATCTCCCAGGGTTGCCTGCACTATATTTCTTCATTTCTTTGGACAAAATAACATTGCCCCTTTAATATCTGAACTGTGCTTTTCCATATATTATCTCAGTCAAGTCCTCCAATCATCCTGAGATAAGTTAACCTGTTTTATAGACAATTGCAGTTTGAGTTTATTTTGGTGACATCTAAGTTTTCATGTTTAACTCCTCTGCATAGTATCTATCAAAAAAAAATAATTGCTTCCAAATTAGTGATGGTAAATTATGTTTCCTTTTCTGTTAGAGTAGTAAGAGCACAGGATTTCAAGTAGTCTAGTCATGTTGTCAGGGCCTGGTTCAGCCCTTTACTGGTTGTGTGTCCTTAGGCAAGTTATTTACCCTGTCGAGCTTCCATGTCTTTACCTATAAGTGAGGACAATTAAAACCATATGAACTCTTTTGATTATATGTTGTTCCAGCAATTTAATGCAGCTTTTTCAGGGGGATGGAGTAGAAATCAAAATGAGTATATTAATTGTAAGATACATTCTAATTCCAGAAACACAAAAACAGTACCTTCAAATTGAGGAAATATGTTACCTACTTCATGTTGTATTATAATGATCATTTTGGCTTTATTGCATTCTCTCCATGGATAATAGGTTTTTTGTTTTGTTTTGTTTTTTTAAATGAGACAGGATTTTGCTGTGTAGCCCAGGCTGGCCTTAAACTCACAGTTCTCCTGCTTCAGCTTCAGGAATACTGGGATTATAAGTAAGACATGTGCCACCATGCCTTATTCTAATTTTAATTTGTAATTGAGTTAGAAGTGTGACTGCTGGATTATTATTCAATTTTTTGTCCTTTTAAAGGCATCCCAACTTGTAATGTGAAGATGTGACCTCTCTAGCACCAACAAAGTCTGTAATGCAGACTGGTGCTTATATTCACCAAGCTTTTGCTTAAGTTACCACGTTTAATCCAGTGACTGCAGTTGTAGCAGGTGGATTTAAGAACACTTGGGGAAGAGAGACATTTCACATGTAACTGGAAGGAGAATGAACTGGGACTTTAGGCTGAGCATGGAAGTAGTGTCCAGACTGGCCTGGAACTTGTGTTCCTCTTGCCTCTTCCTCCTAAATGCTGGGATTACAGGCATGCACTAGCATGCCCAGCAAGTTTTGTATTTTCTATAGATGGACTTACATAGTGTCCTAGTCTTGGGCCTAACTTCTTTTTACCAACGGAGTGTGGGAGAGT